GAAATCAGGCAAGCAGCAAAGGCGAAAAAATAAACCAACATTTTTCAAAGCTTGATACGGCACTGCAAGGCGAATCACTTCGCATTTCCTTTTCACATGCTTTTGTAGAATGACCTGCTGCAGCTTCTATGTTGCCCATTCTTCGATTCACTTCTCGGGTATCCTCACCATCCTTGAAAATGTGCATAAAGATGCGGCAATCACTACGGGAACTGATGTTATTAATATTATTACAGTGCGTTCACAAGCTTCGCCAGGTTCTCCTGCTATTGTATGTCCCAGATCATCTTTCGATTATCTCGCCTTATCTTTCGATTTTATTCATGGTTGCAATGACATCCCGCACGTCACTGGTTCGACCGGTCATCCTCGTTTTTTTTTTTTAAAAAAAGGTACAAACTATTGCGCATCGGTGTTGAAGTTTTATATTAAAAAAATATTAGCCAAAACTTCGAACTATACTTTGAAAGGGGACGAAGGAATCTGGACCCTAAGGAATACGATAACGGATAAATGAATTATGCGTCCACTGTTTCTAACCTTTTCGGCTTGCAGTTTAGCAAGCTGTTGTTTCAGTTCAAATATTTCATCACGCAGCCCTTGCTCAATAGCATCAGCGTCGTCACATGCTTCTCCTAATCGCGCATTCTCTTCCTTCAGCACTTGCAGCTGATGTTCAGTCATCTGTAACAAGTCTGACTCAGTGGCAGTCTCATCTTACAGCTATATTTTGAAGTATTTACACTCTACATACCTGCAGTCTTTCGTTGGTCTGCTGAAGTGCAGAAATTTGCTCTTCCTTTTCTTTCTTCACAGTTTCCAGTTCGATTTTGAGCTCTTCCACTTGACCGTTCTGTTCGGCCTCGTGCAATTTGTCGAACAGTCCGCTTATTGTTTTTTTTACTTCCTCGATTTCCCCTTCCAGCACTTTTTTCACTTCAGTCGAAAGTAACTGCACCACATTCGTATTCTGCTAAAATAGTATTTTTTTTATTTGAAAGCAGACTTTTCTCCTCAAAGAGCGGCAACCACTAATAGTGGCCCGTCCGAGTCGGAACGTGAGCTGCGATTCTCATGGCACGCCTCCCTCAGATTGTAAGCGGATTTAGTTGGCGCGTTGCTGTCTTGGTTGATTTTCTTGCATAACTGCGTACGAGGAAAGCAATGGTCAACATTTCGCGTTTTTTGTTTCTCGAGAGATTCCGGAGTGAAATTTTCTCCTTCCAAAATCTCACAGAATCATAAAACTGAAAGATGCATATGACTACTACTATCTCACAGATCCCATCAAGCCCGTAAACGAACGCAGATTGCCTGATCAAGCCAATTCGAGTCTTAGCAGTTGTTCCACGGAACCCACAGAAATCGTAGACAATTTTACTAAAGGGACTTAGAGGGCCTAAAAACATGAGCCGAACAGTTCGTGCTACATTCCAACCCCCACGCTCACAGATTTGGGGGATGTACCTAAAAATGTCCGATACATATTCGAAAGGCTGAAAGAAA